CCACCCTTTTCGGCGCTTATGCCCGAGCTCAGCGCCGAGAAGAGTGCTTAATAAAATCGCAGTCTATTGTTAAGAGGCTATGGCATCGTGAAACAATGTTAAATGCTTCGCTATATGGATACAAAAGGCGACCCAAGGCGCAGGTGAGCATCGCCACTCTTGTATCCTGCAACGCTTGGTATCGATAACTATTACAGACGATCAGTATTAAAATAACAATAAAAAAAACTACAATATTACTCAGCAAAAATCTTCGAGCTTCACGTTTGATGTTGCAGATCAAAGATTACAGACACACATATTGCCCACACACGGCGGTGGCGTTAAAAGTAAGCCCGAAGTTATGAACTACCTAGGTAGGCACCTATTACCAACCTAGGTAACGCATGCTATCATGACAAGGCCAAGACCACACATAACGGTGGGTCGTGCCTGCCAGTTGAGATGCATCCGCCTCAGTCTACGGAGTACCTAGAACGCAAGAGTTGCGATGCTCCTTCCGTCGCTCGGACACTTGGTCTGTTGGCCCAGAGCCAACCACAGTCATCTAAATATCCTCTTTTTCATGCAGACACACTGGTCTCCCTCCGCAATCCGATCTTTTATCAGCTCAACAAATGTCAATTCCCTTTTACCCCCGCTGCTGGGACCCATGCTGAGACGGAAGCAGCCCAGCAGCAGCCCTCAGCTTTCGTGAACGAATGGCCAGATACGGGTCTCGCTGGGTCTGCCGGATGCAAGTCTCAAGGGGGCGCACAAGGGGACCCGGCACCCACGCCAACAACCATCGCCGTTTGCGGCCAGCTTTGGGGCTACTACCGGTATACACGTGGACCTGTTCCGCATGATCCCAGCAGGTTGGCACCAGTGGCGCAGGCCAAGTGAAGTGCTGCTGCCCCTGCGGTACGAATACCTACGCTACCGAGGCAAGGAAATCAAGCCACGAGATCTGGTGCCATCAGCCAAGTACGACGAGTGCAGCCTCGACGGTGTACGTGCCAGCATGCGCTCGCTACATTGGCACACCGCACAAAACTTTGTTTGATTTGGATCATTGAGATTGACGGTGAGATCGGCTTTGTACGTGTCAAGTCAACCGGCTGCTCCCTTGGCGGGATCGTCACTCTCCCTTGCTACACAACCTCGATGCAAAACGAAAGGAACAATGGTGTGGCTCGGCGGACCATGGCACGAAGAAGCTTCGCAAGCTTTCCCCCGTGCCCTGCCACTGGCCAGGCACCCAGGCACCCAGGCACCTTCCGCCGTGCTGCCGCACTGCTTCCGCGCTCCCGCAATTGCAAGCCTCGATAGCTGGCAGAGCGTAGGTATCCTGTCATTACGGTCCGGTTCCAAGAGGGTTTGATGGCGCCACGGGAGAGGAGGCATAGGGCAAGGGCCTGGAAGAGGTCTGCAGGGCGGCAGAGCCAATCAGTCAACGAGCGAGGTGTCGGGTCTTCGGTGTGGGCACATCGACACAAGCTCTCTGATCTGATACTGGGTGGGCCGTGCTAATGCAGGGCGGCTCGGCTTGGCGCTTTTGCTGAGCTGCAGCGCATGCAACAGGCCGGCCCGCCTTTCCTTGTAAGGTGGTTGGTTGCTTCCCCTCTCCTAATCGAGCCCATGCCCAGGGGTCCGATCTCTCCCCCCCGCTATCCCGGTGACGAATCGGCGAGAGGATGTCGGCCAAAGATATCGCCAGACGAGGAAGCTCGCCGGTATTTACAAGATGATATCATAGAGGCCAGGCCGGCTGACATGCGCCAACATCCCCCGACCAGATGACAATCGATACTCCAGACTCAACCGTGCAATTCTCGCTGCCAGATTCCGATGCTGCCAAGGACGAATGTGGTGGAACAAGCTTGAGCGCCACTCGAGCTAAATGGTTCTGGAGCTAAGCCGTGCCGCCGGTGTAGCCGGCATGGATGGATGAGAGAGACGGCATGCGACATGTCGGGCCTGGAGACCGGAGAGTTGCTCTTTGTCAGTCAGACGCACCGAAATCAAGACACCGGAGTGCAATTATTCGTGGTGGACTAGGTTGACGGCACTTCATGTTTGCCCCGACAACGGACATCCTGGAAAATGTTTCTCCTGCCGAAGAAACCTTCCGCTTTCTTTGAATTTCTGCACCAGACACTTACAAAACAGAAACGAAGAGGGGGAAAAAGACTCGGGTGACACACTCTAAGCCACCATAGGTCTGGCAAACAAACAACAACACCAACTCCAAAGCAAGGGAAACAAGACTGTCTCGGTTTGTCGAGGGTTGTCTTTGAACCCAAAACTGCCTCAGAGAAACACTGGGTCCCGTCTCCTTGTTCCGCGCCAGGGACACATTCCTTTCCTCTGGACGTTCTTACCGAACTTAATTCTCGAGCCTCGGCCAAGGGGAGAGGGAAACCGCCATGTCTCGTTACCTCACTGGATCATTGATGCCACACCATTCGACCAAAACCCAACTTCCCGTCGGTACGGTTTCCATCACTTCTAACTCCCTCCCGGTAACATTCGTCGACACCCCGGTTCACCCCCTTTGCTGATGACCCCTCACCGCCGGACCGAAGATCATGACACGGCAGCCCCCAAGACAGGCACGCGGCTTGGTTGTAGAGACGGGCTCCACTGTCGGCTCCCGCAGAACCTAGTAACCCCTGGGAGCCACTCCTAAGCCTCCGCCCCAGCGCCGCTGAAAGTCGACCGTTTTCAGATGCGACGCTCACGCAAAAACCCCAGTATAGCAAGCAGATGGGAAGCATTTCACGAACTAAGCCTGACAAGTCCGACATTCCGCGCAATGCACGCCATGCACTCTTCTCATTTTCCACAGCCATTAGCCGTGAGAACCGGCCGTGCCTGATCAACCAGCAGCTCCCACCCACCCCTACACTCAATACAGGTTTTCGGACCCAGCTTCCCAGGAACCCCCCAGCGGGTGGCCGCGCAAGAGCCCTCCCTGTCTCAGCACAAGACAGGGCGGGTGGTCTATCCGTACCTGCCTAGTCATCAACTGGGCTGTCTTTTGCGACATCTTACGAGTGGGGGTGTCCCCTCGCAGACTTGTGCATCTTGGCTGCCCAGAGTATCCATCCGTACAGGACAAGGCGTTTGCAAAAGCAGCAAAGAGGTAGAGGCACGAAAAGCCGCCCCTAGTTTGTAAGTGCCCGGTTCGTCTGAATCGCACGTGGTATACATAGAGAGTATGGAATTGCACGCCTCACCATGACTCGGCGGGAAGCTTACAGTCTGTTGCGCTGGCAGCGTCGAAAAGTCACTCATGTTGTACCTCTGACATTGCAACAGCCGGCAAAAAACTGAGTCCGCGGGTTTGGCATTGTGGTTCTGCACAAGCACCATTATCCATAGTATCCGTAAGCGTACTATGGATAGTGCTGCACGAGTGGTCGCCATGGATCATGACTCCAACCCTGGTCCTGGCTGAAGCTTGTCTCCAGCCCAATCAGCCGAGCCGCCCAGCCCTGATGCGACCTCCCTAACCAACCCCTGTGCCCTCAGTAATCCACCCAACCATCCGCCCACTCATCTAACACCCACGTTCATCGACAAATCGGCAGAAGGGGGTTCGGTTATGGCATTGCTTCTGGACTTGGATGTGATATCCAAGCGAAGAAGTCTTTGTCCATGGATTTGTTTGCAAGTACGCCGTACTCCGTATACCTGGCAGTCTTTGTGTCTTTTGGTTGGACAAGATGACGACCAACATGTCTTGTACATACATACAAATGTCTGTTCCCTTCGCAGATAGACTGCTACTTGGCCTACGTTGGGACGACTGTAAACCCCCGTACATAGCTTATTCAGTCCATGAAACCCCGTTCCAGGACATCAAAGAAGCGCAGCCCACCCCATGACGACTGAAGTTTATCTTGCACCCTACCCACCACCAAAAGAAGGAGAAAAAAGCTCGGAACACAGCCTTAATTGGCTATATGAAGCACCAGGCCCCAACTCTTCCTCCTTTTTGCCCTCCCCCTTTTCAGCTCTGAGGGTTCGACCGCTTCCCCCATCCTTGCCTATAATCTCCGCCATAAGGCTGCCGCGTTTCCCTCGCTGGACGCTTTGTCACCTATTCTTCTCGTCCTCTCGTCTTTTGATGCTGGAAAGGACCGGGAGTTAACAGTCACCTCTCAACTCACACACATCAAGCGACAACTATCAGCAAGGAAGAGCAAGCCTCCTTCCACCGTCGGGTATCCTCATTTGCACTGCGTGCGTGATCGATCCTACACGGCCACCGAATACGAGAGACAACACCACAGCAAGCGCCATCTGCACTCTGTGTGATTCTTGAACGAGGTCATAGTTTGGCGAACCGGATCAGCCGTGTTCTTGAGGGCACACAACCCAACCACTATTGGGGCCTGGGAGACGAAACAAAAAAAGTCTGGGCTGTGGGACGTCTAAAAGAACAAGGAAGTTTCTTCTCGGCTACATCACCACTTCCTCCTTGGCACCTTAGACCATCGTCACCTTCAGCAACCGCCGGATCATCACCCTCAACCCTTCCACAGAACCGGCCTTGCCGCCGACCATAAATCGCCAAGCAGACTTCAGGTGCGTGGTTATTCCTCCTAGATCGTCTCTATTTGGAGCGTGTTGGGCAGCAATCCTTTTCCTCGTCCTTCTCGTGTCTACCTCACCGACTCTCGGCATCCGTTGCCCTTGCGAAGGCTTGGATTGTCCCTTGCTACACGTCATCGGCCATTCGGCAGTTCTCCTTGGCACCAGTTGCGGACTGGTGTACCTCTCAGCGAGTGCCGAGATGGGCACCTTGGCGATGTCATCGTCCACGTCGACGAAATCGTGGAAGGGGCTGTCCTCTGCGCGCTGGCCGATGAATCGCAAGTGAGGTGTTCTATATGATCTCGCTGGCGCTTTGCAGTCTCATTGCACTCTCCGCGTGCCTGTCGACCCTTATGAGCACTGGCTATTTTCGATTCCAGAAAACGGTTTGCTAATTTACAATCTCAACAGTCACAATGCGTCTCTCTGCGTTTGTTACCTACACTATGGCCGGCATGGCCCTCGCCGTGCCCCAGGCCGTGCCCCAGAGCTCCCCCATTCCTCTTCTGTCCCCCCCGAGTGGCCCCCCATCCTCTTGCCAGAACAACTTCGAAGGCAACTTTGGCATGGCTGTCGTCGAGCTCGGCACGCAAAGCCTCAACGTGAGCCTCCTCGCCGCCGGCACCACCGCCACATATAGAGGAGATTGACTAACAAATCTTACAGAAGAGAGGCTCTTGCAACGCCGAGGGCTCGCTCGACATGACGCTCAAGGATGGTGTCTTGACTGACTCCAAAGGTCGCATCGGCTCGATTGTCTCAAACTTCCAGTTCCAGTTCGACGGCCCCCCTCAGGCCGGCGTCATCTACACTTCTGGCTTCTCCGTCTGCACCAACGGCTCTCTCGCCCTCGGCGGATCTACCACTTTCTTCCGCTGCCTCTCGGGTAACTTCTGGAACCTGTACGACCGTAACTGGGCCGAGCAGTGCTCGCCCATCCACCTCGCCATTCTGCCATGCGGCCAGAACGCCCCCAAGTTTGATAATAGTGGCAAGCAAAACGGCAACATCATGGTCGCGCCGGCCAACGTCACTTACGTCGGGGACGGCCCGCCGCAAGTGGTTGCCACCACGGTCCCCCTTCCTGTCTGCCAGATCGGCGACGGACAGATCCAGGCTCACACCTCTCTCTGCGGTCAACTCCCGCCAGTCACCAGCAAGCCGAATGCCAGCACGCCAGCCAAAACAACCCCGCCCCCGCCCGCCAAGACGACCCCTCCGCACTCGGTTCCCGCAGCAAATACCACAAACCCCAAGAGCCCGCCGGGCACCGCTCCCGGCCCGGTTCGCCCCGGACCGACAGCTCCTCTTCCGGTCGTTCCCATCGCGGGGGGTCCGAGCCTCGCCCCGACCTCATTCCTGGCGCTCGTCGTCATGCTCTCCGCGGCTCTGTACATGCTCTAACGGAATTCATTGCGTGCAGTTTTGGAAGGAGACCTTAATCGGTCTGGGAGAGAGACGGAGAGAGAGAGAGGAGGTTTGATACACAGCACAGCGTGCGCGACTTCTCACAGCCTTTTGTTTTGCCTGGGCAAACGGCAACTTTTAATGGATGATGAACAAAAAAAAACGTTTGTTTCGCTGGCGCGAAGACATGGGGGAGACACTGATGGTTTGCAGGCTTGCAACACAGATTACATATTCCCACCCCCTACCCCCCCCCGGTAATTGGGTACCAATATAAATAACCCGTAAATACCAGCAGGAAAGAAAGTAGCCTCGTGTTCATATAAATGTGTCTCATGGCGTGCTATAGCTCTAGACGAGTCAGTCTGTCCGTCCGAGGGGGTGACTCGTTTCGTCTTTCACTCCCCCCCTGTTCATCTCGTTCATTTTTATAGCAATAAACCGGCGCAACCACGAAACACGGTTTCAAAACGTAACATCTTGTCTGTCTGGATTAGATAGAGATTCTATATTGATCTTCAACTTGACGTCGAAGCAGTTATTTCTGTTGCTGGGAATCCCCCCGTGCGATCCACACACCAACGCGTTCCACCCGAATCTCTAGACAGCAAGTGAAGTGCCAAACTACCTACACGGTAGACTTCTAGATATTGCAGCTTCGGCTTCTTGGTTTAGAGCCTGGCCAGTAATGAATCTTGATAAGACGTTAACCGTGGCCGCGTCCCAAGTACCTCATGCCACGTTTCCTCTCGTCAGTTCGACGCCCTCTCTTACTACGGAAAGGTGTGTCTACGACCTATTGTTATACCAGCCTGAATCTGCTTCTTTCTGATACCGGATCAACTACGCCTGACGGTGAGTCCATGAGATCAATCGCGTGGGCATGAGACTCAATATATGTCGAAATCCTATGTTCTCGGATCACTTGAAGGTCATACTGAACGCCATGCCAATCCTGTTGAATTTCAGACCCCAGCTCGAACTCCCATGTTCCACGCCATCCTATACAGGCGTAACCAGATGTTGCTGCATGGTAGAAAAACTTAAAGGCCTCTCCCTGGCGACCGTTCCATAACACCATCGTACGTAACTGTGGCATGGAAAGTGCAGTCTTTGCGGCAGTTCTTGAGAGAACCGTCATTTCGAGGCTTTGTGTTTGGGCAAGTTTGCTTGATGTAAGTATCAAGGATTTCAAATGCTTCCGAACCCAATTTTGATTGCACGCCCAAAAGAAGTCCGAGGCTTCTACCGGAAAAGCAACAGATAGCTGCTTCAGGTTAAGGCTCCTTTTTGCAAAGGCAGCACTGGCTGCAGGCGATGCAGCTCGTATGATTTCTGGGGGGTCAAGCCGTAACTGTCGAAGTACAGCCACATATGCTTCGTTTGTCTCTTCAAATAGTGATATCTGCTCGACAGTCTCTGGTAAATGTGATTCAATCAAGTCGATGTAGTCTAGAGAGCCGCTTGTTAGTAAATATGATTGAAAAGGCCTAGTTCAATGTCGTATATTGATTACTGAAATCTCAGGAGTGGGTTTGACAACTTCTCCATCTCGGCCATGGCTCATAAGTCAGTGATCGTAGCCGGGGAAGTTTGTCAAAGATAAAACATAGGGCGTTAGGTTCAATCTGTCTACGACATTGTCGACGAATAATGATTCGCGTTACTGCATTCACTCGAGGGACGTCCCGAAATTCGGAGCGGAGGGGCGAGAAGATTCGCAAGATTGCCATAGAATTAGGGCTACCAACCTGGCGCCCGTTTATCTAGCCGTGGTTGTCGGGATATTCATGGGTCCAGTCGGGGGTACATATCCGGCGACTAGGCGAGGCAGATTCACACTTGCTGTTGTCTCCAAAGTAGAGGTTCTTGAAGCAATGCTCCCCATCGCTGGGAGACTGGATGCTGAGCTCCAGCGTCAGCCCGGCATTCTCTGGCCATTTGGACAGAATAGAAAAAAAGCTTCGCGATTGCTTCCCTAACCACTTTGCTACTCTCGGAAGCCCACGTTTCGCTTCCGTGGTACGGACAACATCGGCATGTATATGGCTTCAGCGCGATGTTCAGCCGAATGTGTCTGACAAGCTTTACTTGCTCCGGGCCGATCATGGCTTCCATATCATCCGAGCATGAAACCTGCAGCTTCAGCTGGCGAAAGCTTTCTTTCTCTAGTATAGCCCGCCACTCCTTGCAAACGGAGGCGCAGGCGCCCAATCCCGGCTCCGTTTGTCGAGCAAGGGCTTCGAGGATCATCTGCCGTAGTTCTAATGGCAGAACACCCTAGCCCAGCGTGTGCTTTGGTGTGGTGTTACCTGGCATGGAACTCATTGCCAGAGCCAGTTTCTTCGGTGTCAGCGTGTGTGTGTGTGTGGGTGATCGAAATGAATATTTGAGGATCTGAATTTAGGCAGATCTAGTTAAACTGGGGTTGAGCTGCTTGACTAACAGAAGTCCGTCCTCAGAGGCAGAGCCATCTCTGTATACCTCAAGGAGACTTGTCACATGGGTTCTACAGCCTTGGCCAAACGTGAGTGAGAGAACAAGTTTGCAGTTGACCAGCAAGGTAAACACCATTCAGTTGTTCCGCCTGGTTCCTAAAAGAAGTCGAACGTTACGATGCCTAGGTACCTATAAGGCTAGGTACTACTGTACGTCACGATGGGGCACAGTCTAAACCCCCTTCCCGAGTAGGAAGGTAAGGAGGTACCTAAGGTAAGGTAGGTACGTACCTGCGGAAGCTTAACCGAAGATCCCCCATACAGGGGCCACTGACGCCTTCTGCGTCGAACCTCGAAATTCCATCACCTACAGTGACAGTGTCTGTCTGCGCTGGAAAACGCCATCCATCTTCACCTACCTTGGTTTGCCCGACCCACGAAGCGACGTCCTACCCACCCAGCCACCCACCAAAATGTCCGAATACTGGAAATCGACGCCGAAATACTGGTGCAAGCACTGCAGCATCTACGTGCGCGACACGAAGCTCGAGCGGCAGAACCACGAGGCGACCGGGAAGCACCAGGGCGCGCTCAAGCGGTTCCTGCGCGACCTGCACCGCGGCCATGAGCAGGAGGAGCGCGAGAAGGAGCGGGCGAAGCGCGAGGTCGAGCGGCTGAAGGGCATCGCGCCGGGGTCCTCGGCGTCGTCCTTCGCCGGGCCGCCGTCGTACTCGAGACCCGGGTCGGGCGCGGCGTCGTCGACAGAGGCGCAGCGGAAGCAGCAGATGGAGCAGCTCGCGGCGATGGGCGTGTCGATACCGACGGCCTTTCGGGGTGACATGGCGATGGCGGGCGAGTGGACGGTGACGGCGACAAAGGTCATTGACGACGACGACGCCGCGTCGCAGGAGAAGCCCGTCGAGGCCAAGGCGGTTGGGGTGCGGAAGCGCGAGCAGACGGAGGAGGAGAGGGAGGAGGAGGAGGCCGTCCGGGGCCTGTTCAAGAGGCCGAGGAGATGGGGCGGCACCAAGACGATGCCAGAGGACGACGCGGACCTCGACGCGCTGCTCGGCAGCAGCACGCTTCTGCGGCCAGTGAAGAAGGAGAAGGAGGAGGAGGTTGCGGAGGAAGAGCAGAAATCCGCCGGGACGACGGACCTCGACAATACGAAAGAGGGCGTCACGGGGGTCCGAGTCAAGACGGAGGAGGGCGCGGGGGATGCTGCGTCCGGAAACGAACCTGACGGGCCCTCGGTCAAGAGGGAACCTACTGAGGATGGTGCCGGCAAAGGCCTAGACGTGTCTGCATTGGATGAGGACGCCGTGAAGAAGGAGGACGAAGACAAGGCGGCGGTGGCGGCGGGTTCCATGGAGGCCGCAGCGCCGGCTGTGGTGTTCAAGAAGCGTAAGCCCAAGAATATCCGCCAAAAGTAAATTTTCCTACAAGGTGGTGGGGGGAGGGAGGGATATCAACTCCGGGGCGGGTGCATAGCGATGGCGTTTGGGGGGGAGGGGGGGACTCTTTAGACTTTATTTATTTATACCTATGAACAAACGCCTTCTACGGCCGCTCACACTAGCCGTCGGTCTAGCCCTTCTTTTCTTGCTCTTCGTTGGAATGATACTATGCATACCCCGGATTTTCGGACCGTTCCTCTCACCTGTACCCTCCATGCATTGTTTCATTATTTGGCCGGTTAATGAATTCCTCTTTACGGCGATGCCGTCACGCAATGTTTGCCCAATGACGACTGACTCCACGTTTCCTTGTACCCCAGACCAGGACCGTTAGGCGGGGTAACACGTGACTCACTAACGAATGCCAGAAGCTGTCAGTTTCCTCCGGCTGACGTCTTCCCGCATTTCCTGGGGGCGGCTACGGATAAGGATTCGGGGTTCACTCCAACTGCTAATCCTGATTTCGTGACCCAGACCTCACCAACACAACATCTTACAAAAGACTGAAAACCTAGTAGAAAAAGAGGCGGATACTTTCGCAGCCACACTTCCCCTCTTCGACCACGACTGGAATCATGAGGCTTCGAAACGATACAGACGATGGTGTCTCCCCCCGTGGCTAGTCCTTCCTCAATATCCCCGGCCAGCAGCTCCCAACTTGGTAAGCGGCACGGACTCAGCGAGGACGCACAGGACTCCGACGCCGGCGCCGGCTACGGCCACGGCTATGGCCACGACCCGGGCCACAGCGGCAAGCCGTCGTCGTCCTCCTCCGGGTCGCGGCCCAAGCGGGCGCAGGTCTCGCGCGCTTGCGCCCGGTGCAAGAGCCTTCGCCGCGCATGCAACGAGTACCGCCCGTGCAAGCGCTGCGTCGACGCCGGCCTGGGCGACCATTGCCTCGGCCTGCCCGGGCCCGTCTCCCTCGCCTGGGTGTCGGACGGCTCCCAGGCCTTCGGCCACGTGCCGCGCGAGGCCGTCCAGCGCATCGCCGACCTCCTCCCCGTGCGCGTCATGGACTATTGCGTCGACCGCTTCTTCGACCGTCTGAACCCCACAATCCCCATCCTGACGCCAGAGTACGTCGCCCACCTCAAGGTTGTCGCGGGGCCCTCCGAGCCCGGCATCGAGGCCCACTGCCTCCTGACCGCCCTCTGCGCCCTGGTTCTGCTCCAGGTCGAGGAGCCCGAGAGCCTGTGGCAGCGGGGGCTGATCCCGGAGAAGAACGCCGTGCACGGCCGCATGCTGTTCGAGGAGGCCCTCGCGGCCCACCGCAACTTTGCGCGCCGGTCGAACCCGAGCTTCGAGCAGTGCCTCCTCACCTTTTTCCTGTACGCCTGCCACTCGGCCCTCTTCCACCACAGCCAGGCCTTTCTGTTCCTGAGGGAGGCCACGACGCTGTTCCTGCTGCTGCGGCTCAACACCGAGGCCGCGCCGCGCGGGCTGGCCGACCGGCTCTTCTGGGTGCTCCTCGTGTCGGAACGGTCGCACGGGATCCGGTACCGGCGGCCCGTGACGCTGCAGATCACGGCCGAGTCGCCGGCCATGGACGATGACGACCCGGCGCTGTCCGGCTTCTGGAGCCTGGCGGCGCTGTTCAGCCCGCTCGACACGTCCTTCATCGCGCTGCTGAACCAGGAAAAGGTGGCAACGCTGCCGTCCAACGTGGCGCTGACGCACGTCGAGACGGCCGTCAACGCGGCGCTGCGGTCGACCTCGGACCTCAAGGACACGCAGAAGGCGAACCTGCGCGTGACGCAGCTGTGGCTGCGCATCATCCTGTGGCAGCTCCGCCTGCGCTTCGGCTACCTGGCCGAGGAGTCGGCCCACGCGAGCATGACATACCACTACCCGCTCGAGGTCGCCAAAGACCTCGTCCTGTCGACGCGGGACCTGCCCGTCGACAGCATCAGGGTCCACGGCGTCGGGCTCACCGAGAAGCTCTTCGACATCGCCTCGGCCGCCGTCGACGTCCTCGCCCGCGTGCCCATCACGCCGTCGAGCCCGCACAGTAGTAGCGTCGGCGCCGCCGGCCCGGGCGAGGACCTCGACTACATGCGGCGCCTCATCGCGCGGCTCCCGGGCGGTAACTCTATCTACGACGGCCTTCTGAACAAGCACATACAGCAGGCCGTCCCAAGCATGGCCATCGTGGGCGAGTGGGCGCCACGTCACCCTACATGAGCGCGGATCATCGGCACAGGCGGCAATACAGACAAAAAAACGGAGAACTAGAAGAAAGAAACAGCGAATATCAAAAAGATCTTGGGACCGAGGGCGCGGTTGTTCAATATGCATAACTGATGCGATTTTACGCTGGTACCCTATCTAGTGGTATAATAACGACACCAAATGCTCCTTTTTTTTTTCCTTTTTTTTTTTTTTTCTTTTTTTCATTTCACGGGTATCCAACCGGTCACATAAGCCCCCATTTTCCTGCGGGCGCATAAACACAAAACACTGTTAGTGCTCCTCGGACAAGTTCTCCTCGCCGCCGAGCTCCCGCGAGTACGGGTCGATCTTGGTCTCGGCGAACTTCCTGGCCGAGATGCCGTGCTCGAAGAGCAGGTCCAGCTCGGCGTACGTGCGGCCCCTGGGCTCGGGCACGCGGAAGTAGGCCCAGACGGACGACAGCAGGCAGGTGCCGGCCCAGAACAGCGCGGTGCGGGCGCCCCAGTCCCAGGCGGTCGAGGAGAGCTGGTAGTTGGTCATGACGTTGACAAAGATGTTGCTGGCGTTATAGGCGGCGCGGGCGAGGACGATGGTCTTGTTCTTGAGGCGGGTCGACGACAGCTCCGAGACGAGGGAGTAGGTCACGGGCCCGACGGTGAAGTCGTAGACGAAGGTGAAGAGGACGAGAACGGCGCCGATGGCCCAGACGGACGCGTTGGCGCCGGAGAAGGAGAGCCCGCCGACGACGAGCAGCAGGGCGCACTGGGCGCACAGGCCGGAGAAGTGGATGGTGCGGCGGCCGACGCGGTGCATGAGGAACCAGGAGCCGGCGGTGCCGGCCATGCCGAGGGCGTACTGCCCCATGGACAGGCTGAAGGAGTTGCCGGGGTCCATGCCGGCCTGGGTGAGGAAGTAGGCGAAGTAGCCCATGAGGTTCTGGCCGCCGAGCGTCTGGACGAGCCAGACTCCGACGACGACCTCGGTGCGGCGCAGGTTGACGCCGCGGAAGCAGTCTCGGTACGTGACGCCCTCCCTGGCGCGCCTCTCCATCTCGTCTGTGTGCTCGATCATGGCGATGGTCTCGTCCGGGTTGAAGTTGGGCTGGTCGCGCGACGTGAGGCGGAGGAGGGCGCGCTTGGCGCCGGCCTTGTCGTTGTGCCGGACGTACCACCAGGGGGACCTGTCGTGGTTAGCGCACCTGGGAAGGAGGAATTCGAATCCGAGTCCGTTTGGGCAGAGGTTCACGATGTCAAGGATTCAGGGGTGGGGGTCTTACTCGGGGGCGAAACAGAGGCCGATGAGGATGGGGACGGGCCAGACCCATTGCACTCCAAAGGGGATCCTGTAGGCCCACTCGTCCTGGCGGTGGTACGAGCCCTTGTTAACGGCGGCCGAGAAGAATTGACCAATGACCTGGGCTTTTTTGTCAGACTTGTGTCGACCTATCTTCGTGAGACCCCCCCCTCCCCGCCTCCGGGTTTTCCGTCATGGTTTTGTGAGAAAACATACCCAGCACATGTTGATAAAGGTGGTGAGGTAGGGCCTGAGGACGACCGGAGCGACCTCGGAGGCGTAGGCCGGCGTGACGCTCTGGAAAGCACCCCACGGGATTCCTGCAGCCACATCCGTCAGCTAAACAAGGGGGGCTTCATCGCCGATACGAGCTCGGAGTCCAAGACGGGGATGGACTCACCGCAGAGGACCTCCCCGAGCACCAGGATCCGGACGTTGGGGGCGAAGAACAGCACGAAGATGAAGGCGATCATCAGCACGAGGAAGCCCATGGTCGTGAGCCGGTAGCCGTAGCGGTCGGCGGCCCAGCCGGCGAGGACGAGCCCGAGGACCTCCCCCGCGCGCGCGCCGTTGGACAGGCCAGACTGCCATGCGGCCGAGACGACGCGGCGGCCCTGCGCCTCGCTCCAGGCGCCGTACTTGTCGTTGAAGACGGCCGAGGAGTACAGGTTGCCCAGCAGGGCGAGGTCGTAGCCTTCCATGATAAGGGTCGAGGAAAGCAAGACGGACCACCCAATGGCCTTGGGATAGGTCCGGACGGCCTCGAGGAGCGTCATCTCGTGCTCGGCCCGGGCGGCCTCGGCGGCGAGGTCCTCGGGGCGTCGGCGGCGGCCCCCCACCACCGCCGCCGCGCCTTCGACGGCGGTGTTGTCCGCGTGGTGGTGGATGCCCGTCTCCTTGTCCCCGTGGGCGGGGACGGGGGTCTTTGTGTCGTACATGTGTAGCTGACTGAGACCGCGGTGGTGCTATGTTCCTATGTGAGAGCGGGGGAGGGTCAAAGAGACGGAGCCCAGGGGATGACCGGAATTCTTTCGCCTGGAACGAGCAAGAAGCCGTGGGGAAGAGGAGGGCATTCGCGTCGTTATATACCCTCGTCGATGGTCCCCTCCGGGCGACGGGTGAGATTTGCCAGTTCGGGAGGCAACGGGGTCGTAGATAAAGAAGCAATGAGCAAGGGACAGGGAAAAAAAAGATAATCAAACAATAAAATAACAATGAAAATACCTAGGTTGTAGTGCTAGAGCAACAGGAAAAATGCCGAGGCTTGAGATGTGCGTGCCCTCCCCCAAGCTCCCCTGACGGGAACACAACAAGGTCAAGCCAGGCCGGGACAGAAGGGAACAGGATGGGATTGGCGTGAGGTTCTATGTGTAGCATACCCAGCAGGAAGTAAGATGGTAGCGTAAGCGTCGTGTTGGGCTCCCAGTTGGGCAGTAGACAGAGTGCGTGTGTAACCACCAAGAGAAGCACGTGTCGAGCTTTTGGAGCCCAGCATCCATTGTCCACCACCCCTTCAATGGCCTGACGAAGCAAAAGTTGCAGGTGCCGTCTGTCGAATCAAGTGGGTTTCCTCAACTCCCACGGGGAGAATTTCTGTGGAGAAGCGGAGCGGGGGTAAGCTTACTAGCGTAGTGTAGCACGAGATTGGATCTGTGAGCAGTCAGGTTCGGCCCGAATTCCTGCTGTGGGAGGCAGTATCAGCCTCCCCAGACTGCCTCCACGGCGCAAGGCATGAATAGGTGAAGGTCTCGACCGCGAGGCGACTAGGAGGCTTCATTCAAAGCCGGTTTGGTGGCCATGTCCACCGATGCGTGCTAAGGATGCAGCCGGAATCTCTAATTTGGAGGATCTCGCACGAGATGCCATCAGGGGACTCCGCAAATGACAGGTGACAAGTATGACACTATTCCCATCGTAACCAGGGAGACGGCTCCTTCGCTTGGGCTTCCCGAGCCGGGCTCCGTGCGGGTGGGCGGCGGGCGCGGCTATCCGTTCAGCTTTTCCCCGGATCCAAGACTACTACACTACACCACACCAACCAGTTCCCACCGGCTCCTATCGATATTCACCGGTTCCCCAGACTCGTGGCCCCGAGCCCATCACCATAATAAAAAAATTTTTCCTCTTTTTCTTCTGTCCGTCCCCGATGCGGGTCGAGTCTGGTTGGTTGGCGGGCGTGAAGTGGGTGGGTCCTCCGGGAAGTGTGGATGCCGGCGGGAGGTGCGGAGCAGCTCCGTGTCCCGAATCGACTTGGCGTGTGCTCTTCTTCGATCCAGCAGGGTAAGCGGAGTCTCCGCCTTTTGATCATTCTTAACTCAATGACTTGCATGAAGGCCTGATCTCCGCCGTCACAGGAGAAAATAGTCAGCACTGAAGCAAAGGGACAAAAACCTGTGCCAATTGTGAATTAATTGAGGGTGTGTATGGTCTAGGTTTCTATCTAAATAGGTGGGTGCAGAAGAACCCCCTTGTAGGCCGCAAGGGCCCCTGCCTCAGGCTCTAATGGCCTAAGGCCCTAAACAAGTTAGCTATAATATTTAGGTACCTACGCTAATTTAACCCTTCTTCCTATTCCCCTAATAACTCTACTATAATAACTTTATCTAAATACTAAAGATAAAAAAAAAAAGGAAATTAGTAAAAATTAATAACCTTTTATAACCTTATATAATATAAGTTCTTAATAGGTAGTACTAATAGTCTTTTATACCTAGACTTTATAAGTATACCTAGGTCCTTTATATAACTTTAATTACCTTTATCTAGTTAGTATAAAGTATAAGTAGTAATAATTAAGGAAAATAATAACTAAAGTAATATATATAAAATAGTTAAATATATATAATATAATATAAGTAAAATAGTTAATATTTAGTAGTCTAAAAGTATTTAGTAAGTAGTATATATTAATATAATCTATATATTAATATAGTCTAAATAATTAAAACTAAATTAAACTAATACTATTCTCTATATTCTTTAAGAGGTTATAATAGTTAAACTTAGTAACCTTATACTAATAGTATAGCTTAATAGGTAAGTTAAAGAAATAGAGTATAAATATAGTAAGCCTATTAAAGTATAAGTACTAAAGGTACTAGTAGACTAATTAAAGTAGATATTTAGCCTACTTTTTCTAAGCTAGTATAGTACTATACTATAGGATCTCTTTAAATCTTTATTTAATATTATAGTAGTAATTAGTTAAAACTTATAAATACTTATTTATAGTAGTAATATTTTAGTTATAGTAAGGTTATCTATAGTTAAGAGGTCTAAGTTTAAATAAATAAGTTAAAGCCTAATATAAAGCTAAGAAATTATCTTTAAGTTAAAACTACCTAATAACTTAAGTATACTTTACCTAGTAACCTAAGTAAACTCTAATTATATAGGCTATAACTATAGATAGTACTATACTTTTATCTTAAATAGTCTAGGTAAGTCCTAAGATAGTTTATAAAGGTTAGCTTTATAGAGGCTATTAGGTAATAGGATATAGGACTCCTAGTAGTATAATAGCCTTTATTTACGTTAGCTTAGTAGTAGTCTAGTATTAGTTTACTTTAAAACTATAACCTTAGTACTATAGTATATTAGAAGTATTAGGGTTAAGACTAAACTTTAGTATAGGTTATACTTTAGATTTATTAGGTAAAGGTATAATACTAAGCTACCTTTAGAGTTTATTAGTAGCTAGTTAATATTTAGTTAAAATAAGTAAAGCTAAACCTCTTTAGGTAAATAGTTTAGCCTAAGGTAGTAATAGTATTAGGATATCTTTATTAAAGTTAGTAAGTTAAAATAAAGTAGACTAATCTAAGGGTTAAGTATTATCCTCTAGAAGTAGTTCTTTCTTTAAGATATCCCTTAGTTATTTCTTAGCTTAAGCTTACTATTAATTATTTAGCTTAGTACCCTTAACCTTA